GGAGTCTGGGGACATAATAATTTAACTTAGAATTTCTAAGATTGTGTGAATGTACATTTGAGGTGTTGGTAAAGATCCGCCTCAGATACGATGGGGAAAGATTATTCTAGATCTTATACATTGTCACAGCCAACTGTTTAAGTCTTACATATTCCAGCCTTTCCCAGGCAAGTTCATCCAACAAAACACTTGAGCGAACGTCATAATTAGAAAAGGTGAGAATTCTAGCAGCCCTATTCTGCAGCTTTTGAGGTTTGTTTGCTAGTCCCTTATTGATATTACCCCATACGGTACCACAGTCATTAAAATATGGCATTACCAGTGCATTGTACATATTCACTCTAGTATCAAGTGGTACAAAATGACTTACACGCCTTAAAATAGCAATGCCAGCGGATATCTTCTTTGAAATGGTATGAATGTGTGGGCGCCAGTTCAAAGATTCATAAATTTGAACTCCAAGGGTTTTATGTTTAATTACTCTTTCTAAGGGTGTATTATTGACTTTGACTGTGAAGTCACTATTTATTTGGGATAACTTAAATTGGCTCCCTATAAGCATGTATGTAGTCTTCTTAACATTTAAAGTTTATTTGTTTGCTGACAGCTATGACTGGATTAAATTCATATCATAGTTCATTTTATGTTCAAGGACACATGGGTCTTCTGCAGATGTGGTAAGGGTAGTATCATCTGCATACATTCTGGGTTTTGAAAACAAATTACATGAAGGGAGATCATTAATATAAATAGTGAGTAAGAGAGGGCCCAAAATAGACCCCTGTGGAATACCACATGTTATTTTACAGAAATCAGATTGAACTCCATCAATGAACGTTTCTTCATAAAATCTTCAATACAAATGCATTATTAACCAAGCGTGAGGTCAAGATGGCTGGATATTGGCCGAGTTTTTTTTTGCATTTTTATGGACGGAGACGAAGTCGAATTCCACAAAAATGTGAAAAAAGAACGAGGCTAATATCCAGCCATCTGGACCAAACAAGCTTGGTTCATAAAGGATTTATTACATTGAAAAAAAGATTTTGCATTATTAAGAACTAAGAATGACCTGTCTACTTTGAGAGCCGGGAAAGAACTGAAGCCCATTGTGTTTGTAGCACAACAAACTCGCGAGAGTCCTTTCTGTTTTCTTCTGCCGCTTTTTGCGTTTTCATCGCCGAAATTGTCCAAGATTACGAATGCGGCCAATCCCGAGCGTGTACTCTATATAAAAAAGTCCTTGGTATGACGAACGATACTTTTCAGCCCGGCTAAAGTTACAGTAAAATGCATGTTACAGAACCTCGATATAACGAAATCCTCGTTATAACGAACACACTTCAGAAGCCCAAACGTGTACAGATACCCCGATATAACGAACAAATGTCAAAAAGTGACCAAAGAGAAATGTAAAACAGACCAACAGTGCAGCACAGTACTATATTGTAGTGTTCTGTTGTTTAATACTGTACACACTCTTCGTGTTCATTCTGTTGAGGGGTTTTACCACTCGCTTGGCAAATTAACAAGAGGTACTGAGACTCTGTAATTTTCTTCTTTATTCTCTCTCTTGTTCCACTGCTTATTTCTACTACTTTCAGCAAGGAGTGCTCCAGTATTAAATACAAAAATCACAGACATGTTTGGGTTAGCTAACCGTGGGAACTTCCAAAACAGGATGTTCAGTGTGGGTAAAACTCAAGGTCAGTTTTACCAACTCAAACATGACCACCTAGCAAACTAGTTATCTTCAACCATAACAAGGGATTAAAATGTCTAGCACGGTAAGTGCTGAGCCAAGTTCAAGCACACACTAAAAATAAATCATCAAAACTATAGATTCATCAAAATAGCACGTAGGGGCGAAAAGGCGAGACTTAATAAAACAAAAGGTAAACCTAAAAATGCTTGAAATATCGAGCCTTGAAAACGCTCTACAACAGATCAAACCA